GACAACGGTGCAAAAGCCAGTGAGCACCATGGTTTGGGGGCAAGCGTCGAAATCTTACGGGGGCCACGGTGTCCATGAAGATATTGATCTGACTGCGCTGAGGAAGCTGCGCAGCTCCCTCGCCAAGCAAGATGATGTTGCAGGAGTGTCCATATTGAATCCTCTTGCTGGAGGTGGCCAGTGGCCTGAGATGCGCCTGACGGGCTCATGCTACCTCAGCAATGGAGTACGTAACCGATGCGGAGCTCGCCCCGAGATTCCATGGCACAGACACTGGGCATGTCAAGACAACGGTAGCATTGTTGATGATTTCATCCTCTGCACCCCGTCCCACTTGGACCTTGGGTGGTCGCCCTCCTGCTGAAGCCCATGCCAGGGCCTGGAGATCGTGTCGTGGAGCTCTGAGGGAAGGTATCATGGTCTCTGGAGGCACTTCTGGGGCTGATGGTTCTGGAAGAGCTCATACCAATGATTGGGCGTTGAAGTTGTGTTCCTGGCCCGTGGTTCCGTTGTACCCAGGATCTCTGCAGGTCTCAAGTGTTTTGTGCGGCGCGCTGCCTGGCGAGGACCAGAGCTCACCCAGAGCAGAACTCGATGCCCCGATCCAGAAGCTGCGCTGGGTCGAGGGCGGCGCGGTGCTGCATGGCGATCTCCTCCCCAGAGCTCGAGCTCTGGGCAGGAGCAGCCTTGAGGTCCAGCATGATTATATGCTAGATCTGTGGCAACGGGCACCCGCACTGTTGAGCCGCGGCTCCGGGAGCCTCGGGGTGCGATGGTGCAAGAGTCACACCACCCGAAACGAGGTTGTCGCCCACCGCCTCACCCCCCAAGGATTGGTCGCCAAAGCTATTGCTTTTTTTTCAACGCAATCTTTTGGGAGAAGAAGGAGGGGCATGAGAGAGGGGGCGACCGCAACACAAATCGAGTAACCCGTGCACTCCGTGTCGATCCGCAGCAGAGACCAGTGGCTTAAATCACAGCAACATCCCAGAAGTAAAAAAACATCGGCGAGAAGAGAAGAGGGGCAAGCTGTTGCTGTTCATCTTGCTGGGGAAGCCACCAAGTGGGGGGGGGCTGCCTGAGGAGAACACCAGTAACAGTTTGTCGTGTTGATGAGAGAGAGTTACCCCCCCGGTGGTGAGGGGGTCCTCGCGGTCTCGAGACATGCTTTCCTGACGTGTCCGAGGACGCGCGAGGATATAAAAAGCAGAGAACACCACCGAGCGAAAGGGCCCAGCTCGATCGATGTCCGTAAGCAGAGGCTTACTGAGCAGGGTCATTATGCCTGCAACGTTGGTTGTGTTTATAAAGGTGCCCGCTCTTTTGGAAGTTCCAGGCTGTGCCTGAAGAGTGTTCGAGTTTCTGGCCTGCGCGGTGGCCTGGGGCCCTCGTGCTTGGGTCCTCTGATGCGGTGGAGTTGGGCCCTTCGACTGCTGCGGAGACGTCCCTGGGGAGTCCGAGCAGGCATCCATGTTTTTTGTCGTGTACATCCGACGTACGTTCTGGCCGAATTCAACGGTGCTTTGTTTTGTCGAGGATGCGAGAATGTTGCTGTCAGCCTTGCACAGAAGCTGACAACTCCCGAGCCGTCTGCAACTGGCAGACGCAACCTCGGCAGGCTGGCGGAAGGTAAGCCCCCCTAAGTACGACATGTCCTTCCCAGCCCCGTAACTGACAGTGCCAGGGTCGAGCTTGCGCTCGTTCACCCCTATTTGCTGGAATCGCTGGAATCCTCCTCTTCTCCCCGCCCCTCACTATCACCATCGCCGGCACCGCCGTCACCATCACCTCCTCCATCCTTCATCATCACGATCATCACCACCACCATCAGCAGTAGCATCATCTTCATGCTCGTCGTGTTGAACATATGTACCTGTCTGTCCTCATCAGGCTCTGGTTCAGGCGTCTGCTGCAGGTGCCTTGCATGATGCTCCGGATGCGGGCGGAGGGTGGCCAAAGAAAGGCCCACCGAAAGACCTGTCGTGTGCCCAGAGGGGGCACCTGTGGTATCGCCGATCAGTCGCGCCGAAACTCGGCAGTGTACGTAAGTCTCTCCTCGGTAAGCATACGAAAGAGCTGACCCTCAAGCCCGAGGGACCTCGCCGAGCCCGCGGCTCAGGCCAACACGCTGGATGCGGTGGACCCTGGAACCGAGGAGGACAGCTGCGACGCCCCTGGAACGTCGACGCGGGGGGGCTGGGGCGTGGACAGCGTGCCGCGCCGAAGCGCGGTGGGCAAAGACCGGCGGCGTGACACGCTCAGCAGACGTTCCAGACCGTATTCCCCCTTGATCCACTGTCCTCCCATCCGCACCCCTACTCCGATTCCTTGGACGTTGACGCTCACGGGCTGGGACGTTGATAGCGTGCCGCGGCGAAGCGCGGTGGGCCAGAACAGGCGGGGCGACACGATAAGCCAAAACTCCTGACCGCGACACTGAACATTCCACGAACTTCTCCTCCTCCTCCTGCCTCATTGGTTGCGCCTGGCCGTTTGCCGTGCAGGTATCGTCCTGCTGGCGCTCACAGCCAGGTGCTCCTTTGTGCCTGTCTGGTGGTGTGGATACTGGCTCTTGAAGAGCCACCATCCACACCACTGGATAGGCTTGTTCCACCACTGGCCACCATGGAAGAGTCCTCCATCACTTGCTCTGTCCTCAGACTCTGGCGGGCTCGGGATGAACCACTCGCCCGTCCCGCCGAATGATGCCCCCCTGCATCTCGGGCCCCGCGATCCGGGTAGCTCGGAATGAGAAGACGGTCCCAGGAAACGGGTCGGGACTTCTGGGGGGCCCGTAATGAGGAACAACCGAACACATCGCATGCCTGGGCCTCCTGCTCAATCTCCCGTCTGCGCCTCCATCCAACTCACGCCTCCCCGTGCTCCTCCATCATGCATCCGCCACTTCCTCCTCCTCATCATCCCGCCTCCCCCTCCGTCCTCCTCCAACGTAGGTGGGTAGGCCGTCCACCTTGTCTGACAAGGATCAGCCGCCCTTGAGGCTGTGAAGCCCCGAAAAATCATCAGACCTCCTCCTCCTCCTCCTCTCCTCCTCCTCCTCCCTCCACCTGCTCATCCTCATTACTCGTCTTCCTGCCCGCTCCATTTGTTGGCGTTGGACAAACGTTTGCTTGCTTGAGCCGTCGCGTCTAAACCTGCTCTTCCGCACTCTCCTCCTCCTCCTCCTCCTCCTCCTCCTCCTCCTCCTCCTCCTCCCCCCTCCTCCTCCCCTCTTCCTCCTCCGTTCCCCTCCTCCTCCTCATCATCCTCCTCCTTCTCCTCCTCATCCTCCTCCTCCTCTTCGTCATCCTCCCTCCTACTCATCATATGGTTCCTCCTCCTCCTCCTCGTCCTCCTCTCCCCCCCTCCCTCTCCACAGGGCTGTGCCAGAAAACGCCGACACTGCTTTAAATAGGCACAAGATAAAGAACAGCCAAACTGCCAGAACAGAAAAACTGGTGAAATTCGGATCCCCCTCAAAGAAGGGCGGGGAACAAGACGGGACGGCTGGGGAATGACGATCGAAGATCGAACATCGATTATGCTTGCTTGGCATCACGGGTGATTTCTGGGGAAAAAATGGAGCAGACCGAGAGGGGACGAGAAAGAGGGGGACGCAAGAGACTGGAGAGGCGTTGCATCACAAATCCGCCGACCCTGGCATGTGTGAACGACTTTTTTGCTTGAATCGTCCTCCTCGTCGTCGTCGTCGACGACGTCGTCGTCGTCGTTATTGTCGCCAACACCTCTCCCCCGTGTCCCTGTCCGTGGGCACGTCCCAACCTGAGAGAAACCGAGCAACGTCGTGATTGAGTCGAGGGGAAGCCCCTTCCCTTTGATCACTTCCCCATCGCGGGGGGGGGTCCTCGGAGGGGGGGGGGTCCTGGGGGCTGGGCCCCCCCCCCGTGGGGAAGCACCCTTACCTGGGAGACGCGTTTCCCTTCGATTACTTGCCTCCCACACGCCCCGGGCTCCCCCCTGAAGCTCGGCAGCGCCAGCCGCAAGGCCTTTACGGTACTGCATTGCAGAGGGTCTGCCCGTGCGCGTCTGCTGGAAGCATACCGGAGGGTTCCAAATGGGGTTTGTGGGGGGGGTCCAAAGAGCCCCCCAAGGGTTTCGGAACCTCGTCAACACAGGGGGTGCGCAGCACCTAACTGTGCAATTGTCGCCACTTTCGTGGGCTCCTGGGAGGCACGTTGGAGACATGGGCTACGCTGGACCATGTGTACGGTGAGGGCATTGGATAAGGAACCCTTAATCAACTATTTAAAAAAGAAATCCAGGGTCTGGAAGCCGGTGGAACTTAAATTGTGGATCGGCCCTGGGTATCACCGCCACCCTAATCTGACAAAGAATCATCCAAGGTCTGCAGCCTCCTGGGCATATTCCTTACCAGGCGCCCCCGCCGTAATGCATGCCCTCCCACCCTTAGCATCCAGATCAGGAGGCATCAGCAGGGGTATTGATAAGGCGTCGATCCCCAGGAAGGGCGAGGGGGACCGCTCGCATTGGCCGACGCCTGAAAAAACATTCTGGCAAGGGATGCCTTGGCGCAGGCGGCCGCGCGACAACTGATGCGCACGGTGCCGGTTTCAAAACGGCACTCGGGCGGCGGTGGGCGCTGAGCCGACAGTAGTGCTTACAGGCTGCGGCTGCTAGGCAGGCGCAACGACAACAAAATTGTGTTTCACATGCAGCCGCGTTCGACGCGGGCCATGGAATTGGCAGAACGACGCGCGCCAACACTCGCAGACCCCGAGGAGCATCCGTGGCTCCAAGGCCATGGAGCGCAGCAATGGCCGAAACGGCCTCTAGGAAGCCGTATGACGACACAACGCCCTCCTCCTACCTCTTCCCTCCCCCCTCCGAGCATTCCTCCCCCCTCCTCTTCCTCCTGCTCCGTCGTCCTTGCTCCACTCCCTTCCGTCTACAAACTACAATGCTGGCCCGCTCAGTCGCAGACGAAGGCCGTGGAGCGGTCCAGGCCGTTATAGCTACGGTCACCTGCACGCTCAGAGCACGCTCAATGCTCCAATGCTCGCCCGTGCCGCGAGCGAGCACGCCAGTTCTGTGGAACACTGAGGCGAACAAAGCAGGGCACAACGACGCAAAAACAACGCACAAGAGATCAAGCCCTGAGCCGGTAAATCACGCTGGCGCTGATGGTAAACAGCAAGACCCCGCAAACCCAAACAAACATCTCTCATGACTCAGCTGGGCTGCGAAAGTATAACACCTACACACGTATGTAAGGAGTCAGAACGTGTGGACATGACTACACAAGCAAACCATCGGCGAATAATCATGCGACTCACATCTTGCAATTCTCGTGGCGGCTGTTGGCCAGCGGTGGTAGGCACGGACTCCCGCGGCCACCGCTCTCGCGGCGACGCGAAGTACCATCATGCATGCCGATGCATCCCGCGAGTAATCATATATATATATATATATACACCTGTATTGATCAACATACTGGTGCCAACTTTTCTCATATTCACCGTCATAGCGTAACCGATCACGCCCCAAGACGGCTACACAAGACCAGGAACACAACGAGCAGGAACGGACGGACGCTGGACACTAACGACGTAGGCTTCCACGTGATCCACCACCGCACCCTCAGCATGCTTGGCTTGGTCGGCTGCCTGTTAGATCCGCCGGCCCCCTTGTGGGGCCACCAGGCTGTAGGCCTAAGGTTCGCAGTTTCCCGTGCCAGTTGCAGCTTCCAGTTTCAACTCTTACAGTTCTGCTTCTTGCTGCTTACTGTTCCTTGTTAACTTTTTTGCTGCTTACTGTTCCTTGTTGATGGACCGCGCGAGGTGGGGAGGCCCAAAACGGGCATTTTTACCACGCCCTGAGCGTGTTGTCTGAATTGCTGGGGTGGGTAAGGATTTACACCCCTCACGCAGATCGGCGGGGTCAGGGCCCAAAAACACACATGATCTGCCACATTTCTGACGGCGGGGTCAGGGTCCAACAACACACGTGATCTGCCACATTTCTGACATTCGGTGGCACCTCTCATGCAGATCGGCGGGGTCAGGGTCCAAAAACACAAGTGATCTACCACATGTCTGACATTTGGTGGCACCCCATCACGCAGATCGGCGGGGTCAGGGTCCAAAAACAAATTGGATTTGCCACATTTCTGAAATGTACTGGCACCCCATCACGCAGATCGGCGGGGTCAGGGTTCAAAAACACAAATGACACCCCTCACGCAGATCGGCGGGGTCAGGGTCCAAAAACACAAATGATCTGCCACATTTCAAAATTTCGGGGGCACCCCATCACGCAGATCGGCGGGGCCAGGGTCCAAAAACACATGGGATTTGCCACATGTCTGACATGCGATGACACCCCTCACGCAGATCGGTGGGGTCAGCGTCCGAAAACCAATGGAATTCTCAACATATCTCAAATTCGGTGGCACCCCTCACGCGGATCGACAAGGTCAGGGTCAAAAACTCAGGATGTGCCACATGTTTTAAAAATCGGTGGCGCCCCTCACACAGATCGGCGGGGTCAGGACACAAGAGACTTCCAACACTTTCAAAATCGGGGAGAAGATCTGGGCACAGCATACGGAAGCAAATGAAAATACAATAGCGAGTACAACAACAGACTCGCAATTTCCATTCGTCTTGCCAACTACCCATCGTCTTCGCATGAAATTCTGACGCTGCTTCACGGTGAACCCACAGCCTGATGACGTCGCTCTTCCATGGCCCATTCTCCGAGAAAGGGGGCCAGCGGCAGGGGGCGAAACCCTTACGGATATATGATCGGCCTCTTTTCCAACAAGGCGGCTGCAGTGACCCCATACAAGCCAATGGATGGTCCCCTGATCTAGCACCGTGGTCCCCCACTGCCCAGAATTTAGCAGGCGAAGGATACAGTATAGTAGATGCTTGCCAGCATGGACCCTACGCAGGGAGTGATGGCCCAATGGATGTGCAAAGTATGTACTATGTGGTGCAGTCACGTGGTGTGAGCTTTGTGGTGCAACACAGATTCCTATTATATATTTTTAGAAGGCCGGGGACCCCGGACGGACCCCGGACGGAGCCCGCCCCCGCCCCCCCCCCAAACGAGTTTCGGCCTTCTCCGAGATTTTCGGGCGGTCCCAGAAGCGCCCCAGACGGCCCGAGATACTCCCAAGAGGGGTCCACGAGCGCTCCAAGACAGCCCAAGAACGCTCCAAGAGACCCCAAGACCGCCCAAGACCATCCAAGGGGGCCCCGAAACGCCCCAAGAGGCCTCCAAGAGGCTTTCCAAGAGGGCCCCAAGAGGGAAATATCATTGATTTGTGTGTGGTTTTCAGAGGTTGTTCTGGTTCTCCCTTTTCCGGGCCAACATCAGCCCGAAGCGGCCCAAGAGGCTCCAACAATCGCCCCAAGGTAGCCCAAGAGGCCCCCCAAAGAGCCCGACAACGATCCAGGAGAGTCCCAAGACAGCCCAAGAGGGCTCCAAGACGGGCCCAGGAGAGCCCCAAGAGCGCCCAAAGAGGCACCCAAGAGGGCCCCAAAACGCCGCCAGGAGAGCCCCGCGACGGCCAATGGCCTGCAAGACGCCGCAAGACGGCCCAAAAGGGCCCCCATACGACCCAAGAGAACCCCAACAGGGCCCTAAAAGGGATCCACAAGGGCCCCAAGAAGGCTCCCAAGAGGCCCTACAACGCTATATAACACCAGGGCTCTCAACACTGAGCTTCAATGGTGCCCCCAGAAACCTTCCAAAATTTGTTTCCTCCATCCTTGTTCTCCCCGTCTCCCTCCTTCTCTTTCCCGTGATCCTCCTGTCCCTCATCCTTCTCTGTGTACTCTCTGCTCCCCCTCCTCTCAGCCTCCTCCTCCTCGTATTGTTCGCTCCTTTTGCTCCTCCTCCTCTTCCTCCTCCGCCCCCTCCTCCTCCTGATCCTCTTCATGTTCCTCTTCAGCTCAGCTCGGCTCGGGTTGGCGGCGAAGGAGCGGGAAATGAAGGATGAGGAAAGAAAAGGATAGGGAATGGAGGACATTGTCAGATCGACAACCACGAAAACGGCAACAAGGCGTTATCGTTTTCTTTAGCTATGTACATATATGTCATCCCGCGTGCTTGCTCAACTTGAAGGACCATGGTCGTCTGGCCACTTTCGCCTGAGACCCTCGCACCTTTGAGTTGCGAGATGCCCGGAGCAGCTGGTCAGGCCACTATCGCCTGAGATGCGCATGTGTATGCGCACACATAATGACCCGAACCATTTGCATATACACGTACGTACCCATACATACGTAGATGTATATGTCCATATGTAGTATGTTTCCATAGGCGCGTGTGCGTGCGCATGTACGCACGCACGCACTCCGCTAATGTGCGAAACCCTAAACGACCAAGGTGCATGGCGCGCAGCGCCAATGCAGTCTTGTGTATACATATATACATATATATATATACATACACACAAGGCTGCATTGGCGCTTCGCGCCATGCATCTTGTTTCTTGAAGCTTTGGAGAGGTTGGCCTGCCGCGCAAGCCTTTGTACCGTTTGAGGCGTGCTCGCGGGCTCGCTTCTGGAGAGGCGGAGGACGGGGAGATGGTGGCAGTCAATTTGGGACGGGCAAAAAGTGAGGTGGAGGCCCCAGGCGCACATAATTGCGCAAGTGAATGAGAAAGTTGCGGGAAACCAGTGGAACCCCGGGTTCGCAACCAAATTTCTATGAAAATTGTTGCGAACTCGGGATTATGGGCAGAATGCTGCTTTCCATAGAGAAATAATATTCGGAGGGGCGCGGAACGGCGGGCTGACGCGAGTTCGGGGGCGGGGGGGTTGACGGGCAAGCTATTGATCGGCTTGTCTCTTAAGAACCGTCGGGACGCCCTCTTGAGGGCCGTTGGGCCACCTTGGAGCGCCCAAGCGCTTCGAAAAAGTTCGCGGGGGTGCCAAGTAAGCGAGCGAGAACTCAGGGATCTACACAGGGCCCTGTGTAAGTGGTGTGAGGGCCTCGTGGACCACTTCGGAGCCATCTCGAAGCCACTTCGGACCGTACTCGGGGCGTCTTGGGACTGCCGTTCGCTCGGTTGCACGCTTGGGTGAACGTTGAGAAGGCGCCCTGGAGAGCGGGAATTCCTGTTTGAAGCCACCTGGGTCCTTATTAGAGCATGAGAATGCTGAGTGGGCTCGTGTTGGGGGCTCCCCTGGCCGTTAGGGCTCCACCTTTGGGCAGTTTAGGGCATCCGACGAGGGCCAAGGCCAACATGATGCCATGTTTGACCGTCTTGGGCGTCTCGCCGGCCGCCTTGTGGCGATTCGGGGGCGGTCATGGGGCCGCGCGTGGGCAGTTTAGGACTGGTCTTGGCCTCTCGTATCGCTCTTCTGGGGTCTCAGGAAGCTCGTTCGGGTCGTCTGCGAGGGGTTTGCAATGCCTTCCCGGTGTTCTCGGACGCCTGGCAAGCCGTATAAGGACACAGTCGAAAAACGGAGGTAAACACCAGTGAAGTTTAGGTTTTCAGGTGTTTCTAAAGCCTCTCGAGCAAGTGCCTTCGAGTATCCAGCAAGGGCCTTAGCCGCATGATGCCATCTTGGACCGTTTATAGTGTGTGTGTGTGTGTGTGTGTGTGTGTGTGTGTGTGTGTGTGTGTGTGTGTGTGTGTGTGTGTGTGTGTGTGTGTCTGTGTCTGTGTGTGTGTAAGGCCTTGCACCAGCCGTCGTGAACTCAGTTTTGGGCCAATCAGCAGCCCCTTGTGGGCAGTTTGGGGGCCCGCTTAGGCGCTCATGGAGCTTATTTGGGCTGTCGACGAGCGGTTGCCAGTGCGTTTCCAGCGTCCTCGGACGCGCGGAAGGCTGAATTAGCAAGTATGCGAAAATAATTTAGAAAACAATGAACGCCTCGTGGAGGGTGACATTCGGGCGGGCTTCGAGCATCCAGCAAAAGCCTAAGCCGCATGGCGCCATCTTCGGCCGATTGTGGTGTGCAGAAGGCCTTGCGCCAACCGTCGTGGGGTCACTGTTGGACGATCCTGGGGCCTCTTGTGGGCAGGTCGGGGACCGTCTTGGGCGCTCATGGGGCTGTATGGGCCGTCTTGAAGCAAACGACAGTGCGTTTCCAGCGTTCTCGGACGCGTGCAACTCAGAATCAGGAAGTTTTCGAAAATCAGACAGAAACCAATAAAAAATGGTTCGAACGCCTCCTGGGGGGGACCTTCGGGCCGTCTTCGGGCATCTGGCGGGGGCCAAGGCTAGCTGGATGCCATCCTGGACTGTCTTAAAGGTCTCTTGGGCCTTTCGCCGAGCGATTTGGGACTGCCAACCGCCTGCGTGCACGCTTTGGCAGAGGTCTCCGCCCGCTCCCCGTGCCACGGATCCGGGGGGACTCGTTTCGGGGGGGGTCCCACCCACCCCGGATTAGAAAAATAGGAAAAAAAAAATAGGGTGCAAGCGGCGTAGCCTGTGAGACAACTGTGTGGTGCGAGCTATGTGGCCTTTTGTGCGCGGACTGCTGGCCACTGCGCGCGATGCGACAAAGGCGGCCCGCATGCTTGGGTGTGGCTCCGTCCGCTCTTCCCGAAAACCGAGCATCGCAAGTCACTCCGGCAACCGGCGACGGGTCACTTTCGCGTGTAGCCGATCTCTCTTTCCCCGCCACATGTTTTCTTTGCTGTTGCCAGCCGTCCTGTGTCATTTGCACCTAGCTTGGGCATATCCCTCACACGCATCGTGCCCCACAAGGAGCTCAGACAAAGGCCCCAATCGCTGCGCAAGATAAGTCCGCACCGAGCCAGGAAATCGGATCAAAGCAAACGTCCGTCGGAGCGGACCGAATCGGCACCGGCACGGAGTCGAATCAGAACAGGATCGGCAGCGCCAGGATGCACGACAGCAGCGTGCAAGCATCCGGCCGCGCCAGATCACTGGAGTATCGGATTCGAACTGGATCGGGCCAGCCCGAATCGATGTTGATTCGGATCGATCGGATCGAAGTGGACCCTGGCATTCGGGTCATAACTGAAGCCTCTGGCGGCCGTTCGGGACGATTCGGGCACCCCTGGAACGCTCTCGAAGGCGCAACTGCTGGGACGCATCTCGAGGCACGCCAACCGCCAGGAGCCGGCGAAGACGTCCAAAATCCATCCGTGCCTCAATCGTCGAACTTCCTCGGTAAAGGAACGAAAAGCGGCATCAAGGCATAGACATAATGTCTCAGAGGTCCGCACATGTTTCTTGGATCGGCGTTGGGCCCGACGCGAAGGGCAGACCTCTGATCAAGTATGTCCAACGCTGCTTTTGTTGCTCGAGAGCCCCTCACGAATGGCGAGCATGCTGGTGATTATCCACGCCCTGGTCTAGACTCTGGGGCAAGATCCCGCGGATACACTTCTTGTACCTGCGCGGAGGGGCCCTGTGGCAAAGAGGGGGAACGACGACGAGGGGGAACGACGACGAGGGCCCGCGGATACACGGTCTCACGGAATCTTCCGCGCGGGTTATCCCCGAACAAGCGCCTCGCATCCGCGGGGGCGCGGCCCAGAGGCCTGGCCCGCGGATGCGAATACGGCCAGACCTGGGCCAGACACACATCCTTCAGGGACACGAGACCCCCCGCCCGCCCAAACACCCCATAAACCATGAGATCACCGAGGGCACCCTCCTCCTGGATGCACCAGAACATCCAACAGGCACGGAGAACATTGAAAACATCAGGGCGCCCTCCCGAACCCATCTCGATCGCATACCTCGGTCTGGCCCTGTTTGAGCAGGGACTGACCGTCCCGGCATTCCACAGTCCTACCACGAAATGTTCCTAGAACCCAAACATGTTCTAAGACCCAAAGCAATGTTCATAGAGCATGAACCCGATGTGTTAAACCAAGACAGCCCCGGCCAGAAATGCTCCAAGAACATGTCGTGGGAACCACAGAAGGTTCTTAGAACATTGCTTGATAGGGCTATAGGCACGGCAGGACGCTTCGCCACGGCTTGACATGTGCTCTTTCTGAAGGGGCCCACAAACAACGAGTCGCTGCAGGGCGACACCGAGTCGCTGCAGACGATGGACAGGGCGACCGCCGCCGCAGAGCCGCGCGCTGCGGCCGGACTCGAACGAAGGGGGGGGATAGGGAAAGGGGGGGAGGAGGAGGGGGAGGAGGAGGGGGAGGAGGAGGAGGAGGGGAGGGGGAGGGGAGGAGGGGAGAGGAGGAGGAGGAGGAGGAGGAGGAGGAGAGGAGGAGGAGGAGGAGCACTGGACCCTCCTCGACCCTCGCGTGGGCTGCTCCCGGGGCCTGCGGCCGGCCGGCCCGCCGAGGCCCGGGCCAGCGCCCGGCCATCAGGCCGGTCAGCGCGTGCAGCTCCGAGAGGTCTGCCCTCGGCTGGGCGCCACCCCGCCTCTCCCCCGGCGCCTCTCCTCCTCCTGCCTCCTCCCTCCCCCTCCTCCTCCTCCTCCTCCTCCTCCTCCTCCCTCCTCCTCCTCCTCCTCCTCCTCCTCCTCCTCCTCCTCCTCCTCCTCCTCCTCAGGTTGGGCGCCCGAAATATCCGGGGTAACTCGGGCCCAGGCCAACTCGGGCTCGAATTCCCGAAAAACGAACCCGAGTTAGCCCTGACCCGAGTTACCCCTGATGATTCGGGTCTCTGATCAGGTACTCGGCTTCGCTTAACTTCGCAAGTGCAGGCCTCTGGGCCCTGTGCTGCGGTCAGGGGGCCTCCACGCCCACGCCGACTGCTGGGGGTGGGGGGAAGCCTCCCCATGACCCCGACGACGGCCAGGGCAGAACGCCCCCCGAACGCCCTGGGGCCACCGCCACTTCGAGAGGCTCGAGGCCTGGCCGTGCGCAGACGGCGAGAGGCCGACGAGTGAGGAGCCCGACGAGTGGCGCTCCCTTCGCTGCCGGGGGCCTGTGCGCCTGGGGGCTTCGCGCCGGCATCTCTCCGATGGCGGGCCTGCGGGCCAGGGGCGCCTGGCTCCGCGCCTCTGGCCCTGCAGCGAGGGGCATGCACGGGCGCCCTGGCTCTCGGGTGCGCCCTGATGGGCCCGGTTTCCACCACCACCACCACCACAAGCTGGAGGGGGAGCGGGTCCTCCTCCTCCTCCTCCTCCTCCTCCTCCTCCTCCTCCTCCTACTCCCTCCTCCTTCTCTTCGTCCTCCTCCTCCTCCTCCTTCTCTTCGTCCTCCTCCTCCTCCTCCTCCTCCTCCTCCTCCTCGTCCTCCTCCTCCTTGCCCCTCAAACTTGTGGTGGCGGTGGTGGAAAGCAGGCCCAGCATCCCTGCTTGGCTTGGGCCGCCAGGTGGGCCTGCGGGCGTCGCTGCGTGGGGCTTCTTGAGGCCCTGGGGGGCTATGGGTGGGCCCTGGGGGGCTGGGGCCGGCGCCTGCGTGTGCACCTGTGCCTTGCCCCGAGGCTCTGGAAGCGGGGGCCGAAGTGCCCTCGGCTCCAGGGCCTGGGCCGAAGTGCCTGGCCCCGCGTGCTGTGTGGGCTGGTGCGCTGCGGTGCCTCGGACGCACACGAACACACAATCACACACAAACACACGCACACACAATCACACACAAAAACACACACTAACACACACACACACACTATGTGGCGTGGCGGCCACGCGCGCGGCGTCGCGGCGTAGAAAGGGTTGAAGAAACACACACGCACACACGCACACACGCACACACGCACACACCTACACTCACACACACACACACACACACACGCACACACACGCATGCACACACACACACACTTTTTGGCGTCGTGGCCACGCGCGCAGCTGCGCGGCGAGGTGAGGCTAGCAGCCGACCGATACACACAGCGCAACACACGCCCACACTTGCCTGGCCGGCGAGTGCGCGCGCACAGCGACGCGGTGGCCACGCCGAGCAGGCCAGCGGTCGAGACCCAGGAGCGGGCGCGCAGGACTTGAGGCGGGCCCGCGGCGCAGCAGGGGCGAGGCGTGCCACGGAAGACGAGCCAGAGCGTCAGCCCAGGCCGGGGAGAGGTGGAAATAATGGGAAACGGACAGGGACACACAGAGCTGACGGTCGGACCAGGCAGCAAGAGCGCGAGGGGCGGAGGGGCACGCGCTTTTTTCCCCCGCCGCCAGCGTTGCACCACAATCGCCATCGACGACTATTCGGCGTGGTGCGTGTCAGCTCCCTGCGCTCCCGCCTGTGAGCGTCTGAGTCGGAGAATATTAACCTGTGGCGACTGAGCGTTCCCTGGCGGCTCCTCCCATGAGTGCCCAAATGCTATGCCAGCTGCACTGGCATAACAAGGAGAGGCCTGAACCAGTGCGTCGTCTGAGATGTCCCCCGATCTGAGCGCGAACGGGCGAGTGTAACGCCCTGTATGTCATACCTGCTATGTCGCGGTGGTAATGAACTCTCATAAGAGAGGGGTCAGAGGAGCAGAGGCACACCGCCTGAGATCCACAATCTGGGCGCGAACAGGCGAGTGCCCCATCCCTGGCGGGTCCCACTTGGGGTGCCCAAGTGTAACGTCTGCTGTGTCGCGGTGGTCATGGGGCTCGCAACAGAAAAGAAAGGAGTCAGGGGGGCAAGCGGAGGCAAACCGCCTGAGACCCACAATCTGGGCGCGTACTGGCGAGTGCCCCCCCCCCATCCCTGGCGGGTCCCCCTTGGGGTGCCTCAGTGACACGCGTGCTATGTCGCGGTGATCATGGGGCTCTCAAGTTAAGGAGTCTGCGGGGCAAAATGAGCAAACCACCCGAGGCAGCCCCACGATACAGGCACGAACGGGCGAGTGACATTCCGCCTGGCGCCCCCCCCAGGGCTGCCCAAATGTAACGCCTGCTGTGTCGCGGTGGGGGGTTCTTTATGTAGAGAACAAGTGTGGGGGAGGAGGAGGAGGAGGAGGAGGAGGAGGAGGAGGAGGAGGAGGAGGAGGAGGAGGAGGAGGAGGAGGAGGAGGAGGAGGAGGAGGAGGAGGAGGAGGAGGAGGAGGAGGAGGAGGAGGAGGAAAAGGAGGAGGAGGACGAGGAGGAGGGGGAGGAGGAGGAGGAGGAGGAGGAGGAGGAGGAGGAAGAAGAGGAGGAGGAAAGAGCAGAGTCTGGGGTGGGAAGGCAAAACGAGCACACCGCCTGAGACATCACCACGGTCTGGGCGGGAACGGGCGAGGGTCATGCCCCCTGGCGGCCCCCGCTGGGGGTCCCCAAGCGCCACGCCTGCTATGTCGCGCGGATCGTGCTGTGCGTGTGAATGAGCATGCTGTGGGTGATCTGCGGGTGTGAGATTGGATACACGTCGGTCGGAAGACGTAGGTAGAAACATGAAGTAGGAAGGCGGATATAGTGTATTGGGCCCAGGTCCTCCCAGAGAATAACAAAACACAGCAAAAGCATGCCGATTATTAAAGTAGGAAGGCGCTTGAAGTAGATTGGGATCTGGGAGTCCAAAGATACCTACTGTTAACGACCGGCGTGTATGACTTGGCAGGGCATGGGTGGATCTGAGTGTGAGCAAAGTGTTCTGACTGTGAGTAGGTCTAAGTGTGAGCGAGTCTAGGTATGAATGATCCGAGCGTGATGAAAGGGCGGGGAAAGGCGGGAACGTGTGAATGAGGAGGCGGGGGGGTCACACTAATAACAATAACCCCAGACTTACGGGCAGCGAACACATCAAATATAATCCTGCCTTGGGAGACCGACCGCGATCGAAAGTAAGAAGGGAACGCACACACACAGACACACACACACACACACGCACACACACACACACACGCACACACACGCACACACACACACACGCACACACGCACACACGCACTCTCACACACACACACACACACACACACACACACGCACTCACACACACACACACACACACACACACACACACACACGCACACACGCGCACACACACACACGCGCGCACCCATTTTCCCTCCTGCGTGCGGCTGGGTCGAAATCGCGGAACGAGGCATCGGGTCGGGGCACTCACACACAAACACACCGATCCTGGGTCCGGGATGGGCCTTGCCAGGACAAATGCTGTCGTACAGTCGGTGTGCCTCGGCGCCGACATCTGACGCCGTGAAGAAAAATACTTAGGCCATCCAGCCTCGCGCTGCACGCAGAGCGGAGCCTCGACTACGAGGTGGGGGGAGGGCAAACATAATAACAATGACACGACGTCGTGGTGAACCCATCAGCGCGCTACTACCCAAGAAACAAGGCCTCCAGACTAAAAAACGAATGAGTAGCGCGCTCACGGGCTCACAAAGGTGGCGTGCCAATGATACTGCACTGCCCTCACGAGATCGTTCGGAAAATTGATAGATGTTGATCGATGCAATTGTAAACTCGTCAGTGCCGCAAGGTTGTGTTCGGGATTTCTCGTTAGGAAAACTGATAGATGTTGATCGACGCTGTTGTAAGCATTTTAGTGCCGCAAGGCTGTGAAAAGGGATTTAAAGGTGCGCGCGCGTGGCCTGCCTGGTGTTCTTCGAGACGGCGTCATTGGCAATGCACGTCGAAGATCAGAGCGAATGATTCGTACAGTATCGAACATTTGACGGGGATGACGCGGATCGAAAAGGTGCCTGGCTGGCATGGCACGACGTCGTATTCAAGAGGGACGGTGATGCAGAATAAGTACTGGACCAGAGAACAAGCGACACCACCCCACCTACGGCCCCACGGGGTTTAAAGCGTATACCAGGACATCCAACTCGGGTTTTTGCGTGGTATACGCTACGGCCCCCCCTGGGCCGCAGCGCAGCATGGAGGGCCGTAGGTGAGGTGGTGCAGTTTGCTTGTTGGCCGAAATGCCGAATTCTGGCCCCGTGGGGGCAGAGCCTGAGGCTCCGGAAGGGCGACGCCACTGAAGGGGCCCCAGGACCCACAAACAGATACACACAGATAAGAACACATTCCCCATCTATGTTCCCATGTTTTCTGGGCTTTTGTCTTCCAAAACCCACTTCTCACATTTTCCCATATTTTCATGGGAATCGACGAGTAAGTGTGCGTGTGTGTGTGCGTGCGTGTGTGTGTGTGTGTGTGTCTGTGTGTGTCTGTGTGTGTCTGTGTGTGTGTGTGTGTGAGTGTAGCTGTGTGTGTCTGTGTGTGTGTGTGTAGGTGTGTGCGTGTGTGCGTGTGTGCGTGTGTGTTTCTTCAACCCTTTCTACGCCGCGACGCCGCGCGCGTGGCCGCCACGCCACATAGTGTGTGTGTGTGTGTTAGTGTGTGTTTTTGTGTGTGATTGTGTGTGCGTGTGTTTGTGTGTGATTGTGTGTTCGTGTGCGTCCGAGGCACCGCAGCGCACCAGCCCACACAGCACGCGGGGCCAGGCACTTCGGCCCAGGCCCTGGAGCCGAGGGCACTTCGGCCCCCGCTTCCAGAGCCTCGGGGCAAGGCACAGGTGCACACGCAGGCGCCGGCCCCAGCCCCCCAGGGCCCACCCATAGCCCCCCAGGGCCTCAAGAAGCCCCACGCAGCGACGCCCGCGCGGGGCAGCGGCCCTCCTGAGCAGCGTGGGGCAGCGTGGGGCAGCTCGCGCGGCGCGGGCCGCGCGCGCCGCCCCGAGAACGGGCCGGGCGCACGGCTCGCCGCACGGGCGCCCACGGGCGCCCCCCGCGACCGGCGACCTCGCCGGGGCGGACAGCACCCCCCAGTCTCAGGGATAATACGTTCGAGGCTGGCAAAAATTTCCCAGGTCGAGTCGGGTGCTGCTCGAAGTGCCCCTGGGGCCCAAGGCGCCCCCAGGATGTCCAGTGTGCCCCCCACGGTCTCCAGGGCACCCCCCAAGAGGCCCAGAGGTCCCCATGCGCTCCTTCTTCGAAAGAGCAAAAAATCGGGGGGGGACAGAACCCCCAACAGTGACGCGTCGATTCGTGCGAATTGTCCGTTTTCGGCTCTCGGGAGGGCGCCGCGGCCGTTATACCACCAGCCCTTTGGGCGTGAGTGGTTTAGAGAGCTCTCTATGTTCTCAACCCCCCTTCTTCCCCTTCGGGGAAGGGTTTACCCCTCCCCCTACCCCCTCCCCCTGGGCCTGGAGAGGGCGTCCCGCGGGTCGTTGGAGGGGTCTTTTTCGACTCCTGGGAGGGCAAAAAACGACACCCCTCACGAGGATTCTGGCCCCGACGGGGGGAGGCAGAAAAATGCTCCCCTCTTCTTGGAAGCCAAAATCATTGATTTTACTACGGTCTTGGCCCCATTTTGGCCTTCTGAGGGGGCAGCGCTAATTAAAGCTCCCCTCTTCTTTCAAGCCAAAATCATTGATTTTACTAAGGTTTTGGCCCCATTTTGGCCTTCTGACGGGGCAGCGCTAATTAAAGCTCCCCTCTTCTTTGATCGATTTCCTCCGAGATGGCCCCAAGAAGCGCCCAGGAGGCACCAAGAGGCCCCAAGATGGCCCCAAGAGGCCCCCAGGAGGCCCCCAAGAGGATCCCAAACGGCCCAAAGAGGCCCCCCCGAGGCACCCAAGACGCCGAAAAGCCCATCAGGACGACCCTCTACTCGCCTGGGCGTCGTTTCTGGACGGGCAGGAGGAGGGGCCCGAACGACTCACACCAGGACGAGGGGCCCGAACAACTCACACCACGAGAAGCCCGAACGACTCACACCAGGACGAAGAGCCCGAACGACTCACACCACGAAGAGCCCGAACGACTCACACCAGGAAGAAGGGCCCGAACGACTCACACCAGGACGAGAAACCCGAACGACTCAAACCACGAGGAGCGCTTTCTCTCCCTCCTCCTCCGCCTCGTCCTTCTCCCGCTCCCACCACAAGGAGGATGTACAAGGAGGCGGGAGGAAGGAGGAACAGGGGAGATATGCGGGGGCAGGCGGAAACACGCCTGAAAAACACGACTGTCGGCATGCTTCGCTAGAGCTGCTGTTTTGAGATGGGCTGGTGGGGATACGCGAAGCGTGAAGAATTGTCCGTTTTCGGCTCTCGGGAGGGCGCCGCGGCCGTTATATTTTCCAGGCCTGCGCCCGCCAGGTTTGGGCCTCGGGCCCTTTTCCCTATAAGCCACGTCTTGCTAAAGGGAGGTCCGTCCATCCCCGAGACCTGGCCGCCCCGGCAGCCCCGCGCACGGGAGCGCCCGCGCAGCGCCCACGCAGCGCCCGCCGTCGCCCACGACACCTCGGAGCAGCCACGCAGCGCCCACGAGGCGACCGCAGGCGCCAGCGGGCGCACGTCCCGCGAGAGCGCGGCGCTGCCCAGCCGGCGCATGTTGGGCGCATTCTGTGGGCGCCCACGAGGCGACACGCCGTGCGCGCAGCCAGCCAGCCAGCGCGCGCAGCACCGCACCGCCAACCGCCGAGCTGCCCGGCCGACGCGCGCACGCCGCGCGACGACCTGGAGCCGCAGGGCAGGGGAGCGAGCGAGCGCGCGCCGCCGGCCCCACGGACCAGCCCTGCGAGGGCAGCGCGGGCGGGCCGGGGCCCGGAGGAGGGTCACGCCTCAGAGCTCGGACCGAGGCGAGCCGGAGTCGGAGAGATGGGATGGAGGGAACTCAGCGAGGACCGGCAAGCCAGCGAGGACTCCGTGAGTCCATGCCCGGGGAAGAAGGCGGTTGGAGCTATGTTTCACGATGCCTGGGTCTGAGGGCCTCTCCTGTGCAGGCCAGCCAGATGGGGCTGGAAGAGATGGGGCTAGAGGTCCTCCGACTGGCGCGCTCCAGAAACCTTCCTGAAGATAATAAAACGTTGGCATCTCTTGAGCGGCCCAGACTTCGACCCCTTCCCCAAGGCCAGCTTTTTCTCCTGCGCCGTTTTGTGAAGGCAATGCGCCCTGGGAGCGGCCCCCAGAGGTCCAAAACGCTACAGAAGGTGACGTCGTCGCATCGTCGCGCTTTTGCGTCGCCAGGATCTGAGGTGCCTCTCGGTCCTCGACCCTCGATCCAAACAGTGGCCATATCTTGGAGCGTGTGTCTCACTTGGCGCACGTGGCGCAACAGGCGCGGCTGCCACGATTGGGCGCCTGGGTCACCAGGCGCACCTAGCTCGTGTGCGACACAACCTGGGAGTCGCGCATATGGCGTCTGTGTTGATTCCCTATGGCTGCCCATCCGATGGCAACATTGGCCTATGCTGAGTCGCGGTGCTACTTGTATCGCGGGTTCCAGAAACCATGAACCTCCAAAAAATGGCATCTCGTGGAGGGTTGACAATTGCTTCCAGGGGGTGCCGCCTGCCTTCCGCCAGCGGAGCCGCCCCCTTTCTGCTTCCGCCGCCTCCCGCCGGCTTTCCGCGGCGGAAAGAGAACCTCTACTTCCGCCGGCCTTCCGCTTGCCGATGTCGTCGTCGTCGTCGTCGTCGTCGTCGTCGTCGTCGTCGTCGTCGTCGTCGTCGTCGACTACAGCGCCCCATCTGGGCGGCCTGGATCCCACTCCTAGGGGAACAAACGAACTGCGTGGGCTTACTTTCTCGGAGGCCCGCGCGGGTTTCTTGCATCGGCGCTGGGCCCCCCTCCCTGGCGCGCGGAGCGCGCCAGGGGCTGCGCCGGAGGCGCCGCCAGGGGAGGGAGGAGGAGGAGGAGGAGAAGGAGGAGGAGGAGGAGGAGGAGGAGGAGGAGGAGGAGGAGGAAGAAGAGGAGGAGGAAAGAGCAGGGTCTGGGGTGGGAAGGCAAAACGAGCACACCGCCTGAGACATCACCACGGAGGAGGAGGAGGAGGAGGAGGAGGAGGAGGGGAGGAGGAGGAGGAGGAGGAGGAGGAGGAGGAGGAGGAGACGACTGCTCGCCCGCCGACCCTCGGCGGCCGGGCCTCTCGCCTCCTCCCTCTCCTCCCTCCTCTCCCTCCTCCTCCCTCCCCTCCCTCCTCCTCCTCCTCCTCCGTGGCCTCCCTCTCCTCCCTCCTCCTCCCTCCTGCTCCTCCCTCCTCCTCCGCGGCCCGCGCCTGGCTGCCGGTACAAAGCAAGGTGCTCCCCACACGGGAAGACAAATGGCAGCGTCGCGGAGAGCACGCGCTTGCCAGGGAGAGGCCCCGGATCGATCCGTTGTATGGCCTCGAGGCCCGGCCTCGGGCGACACCGCCCGATGTTGTAGAAAATTGCGGCGCGCTCGGCTCTGCGGGGTTCCCCCCCTCCTCGGCGCGGTTGAACGACACCGACACATGGCCCTCCGAGGAGGAGCAGGAGGAGGAGGAGGAGGAGGAGGAGGAGGAGGAGGAGGAGGAGGAGGAGGAGGGGAGGAGCAGGAGGGGGAGGAGGGGAGGAGGAGGAGGAGGAGGAGGAGGAGGAGGAGGAGGAGGGGGAGGGGGAGGGGGAGGAGGAGGAGGAGGAGGAGGAGGAGGAGGAGAGGAGGGAGGAGGAGGAGGAGCAGGAGGAGGAGGAGGAGGAGAGGAGGGAGGAGGGGGAGGAGGGGGAGGAGGGGGGGGAGGAGGAGGAGGGAGGAGGAGGAGGAGGAGGAGAGGAGGAGGAGGAGGAGGAGGAGGAGGAGGAGGAGGAGGAGGAGGAGGAGGACGGGTGCCGCCCAGTCCTCGGCTCCGCCTTCTGGTCCCGCGCGCTGCGCTCCACCAGCTGCGCGGGCGCAGACCGCGCGGGCGCCAGGTGTCATCGGCCGCTCGACCGCTGCTCGGCGCCGCCGTTCGGCGCCGTCGCCGTCGTCGCCGTCGTCATCGCCGTCGTCGTCGCCGTCGTCGTCACCGCAGTCGTCGTCGGCGTCATCGGCAAGGGCGTCGCCGTCTGCGTCGGCGTCGGCGTCGGCAGTGGCGTCGGCGACGGCCACGGCGATGGCGTCGACGTCGCCGTCGCCGTCGTCGTCGTAACGTCGTCGCCGTCGTCATCGGCGTCATCGGCGGGGGCGTCGCCGTTTGCGTCGGCGTCGCCGCGCCGTTTGCGTCGGCGTCGTCGTCGTCGATGTCCGCGTCATCGGCGGGGGCGTCGCCGTTCGGCGTCGGCGTCGTCGTCGTAATCGTCGTTGCCGTCGTCATCGGCGTCATCGGCAGGGGCGTCGCCGTTTGCGTTGGCGTCGGCGTCGGCGTCGTCGTCGTCGTCGCCGTTTGCGTCGGCGTCATCGGCGGGGGCGTCGCCGTTCGGCGGTGGCGTCGGCATCGTTGTCGTCGTAATCGTCGTCGCCATCGTCATCAGCGTCATCGGCGGTGGCGTCGCCGTTTGCGTCGGCGTCGGCGTCGGCGACGGCGACGGCGACGGCATCGGCATCGTCGTCGGTATCGTCGTCGTCGACGGCGACGTCGTCTTCGGCGTCGTCGTCGTCGTCGACGTTGTCGTCGACGTCAACGTACTCGACGTTGACGTCGTCGTCGTCGTCGTCGACTTCTGCGGCGGCGTCGGCGTCGGCTTCGGCGTCGGCGTCGGCGTCGGCCGCGTCAACGTCGGCGGCTTCGTCGGCCTCGGCGTCGGCCTCGGCGCCGACGCCGTCGTCGGCGTCGCCGTCGTCGGCGACGTCGGTGTCGGCGTTGGCGTCGGTGTCGGCGTCGTCGTCGTCGTCGTCGACGTTGTCGTCGACGTCAACGTACTCGACGTTGACGTCGTCGTCGTCGTCGTCGTCGACTTCTGCGGCGGCGTCGGCGTCGGCTTCGGCGTCGGCGTCGGCGTCGGCCGCGTCAACGTCGGCGGCTTCGTCGGCCTCGGCGTCGGCCTCGGCGCCGACGCCGTCGTCGGCGTCGCCGTCGTCGGCGACGTCGGTGTCGGCGTTGGCGTCGGTGTCGGCGTCGGCGTCGGCGTCGACGTCGGCGTCGTCGAAGTCGTTGTCGCCGTCGTCGTCGTCGGCGTCTGCAGCGGCGGCGGCGTCGGCGTCGGCGTCGGCGTCGGCGTCAGCGGCGTCGGCGTCGGTGTCGTCGTCGGCGTCGACGTCGTCATCGTCAATGTCGTCGTCCCGCCGTCGTCGTCATTGTCGTCGTCGGCGTCGTCGTCGGCGTCGCGATCGTCGTCGTCGTCGTCGTCGACGGCGTCGGCATCGACGTAAGCGTCGACGGCGGCGGCGGCGGCAGCGGCGTCAGCGACGGCGTCGGCGTCGGTGTCGTCGAAGTCGTCGTCGTCGTCGTCGCCAGTGTCGGCGTCGACGTAAGCGTCGACGGCGGCAGCGGCGGCAGCGGCGTTAGCGACGGCGTCGGCGTCGGTGTCGGCGTCGGCGTCGGCGGGGGCGTCGGCGTCACCGTCGTCGTCGTCGTCGTCGTGGTTGTCGTCGTCGTCGTCGTCAGCGTCTGCGTCAGCGTCGGCGTCGGCGCGGCGTCGGCGTCGGCGTCGGCGTCGGCGTCAGCGGCGTCGGCGTTGGAGTCGGTGGCGGCGGCGGCGTTGGCGTCGTCGTCGTCGTCGTCGTCGTCGTCGGCGTCGTCGTCGTCGTCGTCGTCGTCGTCGACGTCGTCGAGGTCGAGGCCGTCGTTGCGGGCGTTGTCATTCTCAGCGGCGTCTTCGGCGTTGCTTGATTGGGGGCGGTAGATGGGGGGCGAGAAAACGTGCACCTTTCGTGTCCCTTGTGGGCCCCAGGGGGCCGTTTTGAGACCCCCAAGGTGCACAAAAAGCGCACCTTTCTCAACCCCCCCGTTTACTGTCGGGAACTTTTGTTTAGCGTGGCGCGGCGGTGGCCCCGGCGACACGGTGTGCCGTGCGAGTGGGTAGCGCGCCGCTCCGCTCCGTGGGGCGGGAGGCTCGGACAAATTTTGGGACGGTGACGCTCGGGGACTGGGGAGTGGATAGCGTGTCGCGCCGAAGCATGGTGGGCCAGAACCGGCGGAGCAGTACGCTGAGCCAAAGTGTATTTGTTTGGCGAACAGACGAGCAAATAACGTAAGCGTGCGCAATGAACTGGCAGTACAACGAACCTGGCACGCCTGGTCGAGAACGCGAGTTCAACTTACTAGCAGAGGTCGCAAACTCTAGAGTCCAGACCACAGCGGGCTGGCATATCTCAAAATGCACCACTGCAAGACCCAATGGACTCTGTCTGAAACCACTGACGAAAGCTGCGAGTACACAAGCCCAAAGGGAGAAGAGGCACACATAATACCAGCTGATGGTGGGTAACGGCAAAACAAGCGGGAGACTCACGACCCTCTCTGGGCACAGGACCAATTATCAAGCTCCCCAGGCACGACCGTCCCAATGGAATGTAACTGGCAAGGCCAAGAGATGCACACCGAAGGCACCTAGAATATAGCAAATGATCGGAGGTGAGAGGGTGAGATCGAAGTGGAACGGAGAACCCCCCTACCGGGAAATCGATTTCGGTTTCGTGTTCGTGCGTGCCGTGCGTGCGGGCGAGGCGAAGCTGCGTGGGCGGGCGAGACGAAAGTCTCCTGTGGCTGAGGCGCGGCCGGACCAAATGATTCTCCACCGGGCGGCCGGTGGCGCGCGGTGTCCCGCCGGTGTCCCGGTGGTGTCCTCTGTGGCTGAGGCGCGGCCGGACCAAATGATTCTCCACCGGGCGGCCGGTGGCGCGCGGTGTCCCGCCGGTGTCCCGCCGGTGTCCCGTCGGTGTCCCGTCGGTGTCCCGATCATGATGTTGATGATGATGGTGATGATGATTATGATGTTGATGATGGCGATGATGATGATGTTGATGATGATGACGTCGATTGTGAGATCGATTGTGATATCGATGGTGAGACCGAATGTGAGATCGATTGTGGGATCGATAGTGAGATCGATTGTGAAATCGATGGTGAGATCGATAGTGAGACCGAATGTGAGACCGAATGTGAGATCGACTGTGAGATCGTTGGTGAGATCGACAGTGAAATCGACAGTGATACCGAATGTGAGACCGAATGTGAGATCGATTGTGAGATCGATTGTGAGATCGATAGTGAGATCGATGGTGATATCGATAGCGATATCGATAGTGATATCGATAGTGAGACCGAATGTGAGACCGAATGTGAGATCGACTGTGAGATCGATAGTGATATCGATAGTGAGATCGACGGTGAGACCGAATGTGAGACCTAATGTGAGATCGATTGTCAGATCGGTTGTGAGATCGACTGTGAAATCGATTGCGAGACCGATACTGTGATCGATTGTGAGATCGATTGTGAGATTGACTGTGAGACCGAATGTGAGACCGAATGTGAGATCGACTGTGAGATCGATTGTGAGATCGATAGTGAGATCGACAGTGAGACCGAATGTGAGACCGAATGTGAGATCAATTGTGAGATGGATTGTGAGATCGATTGTGAAATCGATAGTGCGATCGATAGTGAGATCGATAGTGATATCGATAATGAGATCGAATGTGAGATCGATTGAGTGAGACGTTGGTTCCCCCTGCCCCTTCACCTCCTTATCACCCGCAGGGTGGTCGTATAGGTAATATCGGAAATTGGGGGGTGAGATCGAAGTGGGACGGAGAGCCCCCCCACCGGGAAATCGATTTCAGTTTCGTGTTCGTGCCGTGCGTGCGGGCGAGGCGAAGCTGCGTGGGCGGGGGAAAGGAAATTCTCCTGTGGCTGGGCCGCGGCCGGACCAAAAGGTTCTCCGCCTGGCAACCAGTGGCGCGGGGTGTCCCGCCGGTGTCCCGCTGCAGTCCCGCTGATGTCCCGCGGGTGTCCCGTCGTGGCTGGGCCGCAGCCGGACCAAAACGTTTTCCGCCCGGCAACCGGTGGCGCGCGGTGTCCCGCCGGTGTCCGGCTGGTGTCCCGCTGGTGTCCCGCCGGTGTCCCGTCGTTGTCCCGTGGTGTCCCGTAGTGAGATCGACAGTGAGATCGATAGTGAGATCGATAGTGAGATCGATCGAGTCAGATCGATAGCGGGATCGAAGGTCCCATCGATCGTGAGGCCAATAATGGCATCGCTTGTGAGATCGATAGAGAGATCGATAGTGAGATCGATGGTGAGATCGATCGTGAGACCGATAACGACATCGCTTGTGAGATCGATAGTGAGATCGATTGAATGGGATCGATAGTGAGATCGATAGTGAGATCGATCGAGTGGGATCGATAGTGTGAGATCGATCGAGTGAGATCGATCGAGTGAGATCGAGCGGCAACGCAACAATCACCACTGTTGCCCATTGCTGGCCCCCTCCCCCCCAACCTCCTCATCACCCGCAGGGTGGTCGTATTGGTAAAAAGAGCTGCCGTAAGACGGGCGAGATCCAGCCCAATAGCTGCAAGATGTCAACACGGCCATGCCGTGTGGTGGCGGCAAGCCAACAAAGGCATCGCGGGCAAGCAACGGCTCCCTGGAGAGAGCGGCCGACAAGACTGGGCGACACGTCAGTGGCCTACCCCCGCGTGCAGCAGGCGCAAGCACCAAGTCTTCGCACTGGAGGGGCCACCCCGGCGCACTCCGTGCCGCGACCCTGGGAGCGGAAGAGACGAGGAGGAGGAGGAGGACGAGACGGAGGACAGAGGAGGGGGAAGGAGGAGGGCGACTGCACGCTCAAGAGGAGCGCTCGGGGCATCCACAGCCGCGGACAGACCTGCCGGCGCAGACCAACACCTCGGCACCACGATTCGGAGAGAGGGGGACGAGGCGGGGGACGGAGGAGAGGAAGGAGAGGAAGGGGGGAGGGGGAGCCGCCGTGCTCACAACCTATCGGCCACGCGGCCGGGACAGAGGCGACTGGGCCCATGAGCGGCGAGATGCGTGCCACAGCTTCGGTGCGCTGCCTCGTCGGGAACTCCCGCGGCAGTGCACGGCCGGACAGGCCGGCACGGTCGAATCCTGCCTCCCGGTGGCTGGCACCGACACCAGACATCGCACGACTCTCATGCACGCCACCCCTGGCTCAGGAGGGCCCGTCTGCCACCCCCGGTATAGCTCGGCGGTGGACAAGCCTCCCTTTAGCAAACCTCCCCTGAGTGAAAACGGCCTGGGACCGAAACCGACGGACCTGGACCCGCAGAAATGACGGCCGCGACGGCCCCTCGCGAACCGAAAACGGCCGATTCCTTAATCGACGTGTCAGGATAGGCAGGCCTATCAACCTCCGGATAACTGCGCATCGTCCGGGCTGGCCGGTCGGTCGCTGCCTCCTCTTGCCGCGCTGCCGCTCTGGGGGGCACGGTGGACCGAGATCGGGCGGCTGCTGGCGTCAGCTCCGTGGCCCGGTGAGCTGGAGATGAGAAGGGGCGAAGAGGAAGGGTGATGTGTGATATCGGCATGTCCTATCCGATGCGACTGAAACCGATCCCAGGCCCTGCATGCATATATATTCTACTATCGCCTTCCTCCTCCTTACCTCTCCAGGACCTGCTTCCTCCTTGCTCCTCCCTCCTTCCACCTCCGCGATGCATGATCCCGTATGTATCCTCATCATCATCAACATTATCATCATCAGCAGAATCATCATCATCACCAACATAATCGGAATCGTCGTAATCGGCGTTGTCGTCGTCGTCGCAGTCACCATTACCGTTATCACACGGCACCAGCATCAGCACCACAACTACCACAATCGCCATCACCGTCCTCACCAACATCATCACCGCCACGACCAGCGTCACCCATATCAACCTCGTCGGCATGCTCCACTACCAATTTGCATGATGCCCTCCCTCGTTCCCTCGAGACCCAGAGGAACCTCCGATGACCTCATCATTCAGTACGATCCCCCGTCTCTCCCCCCCTCCTTCTTTTCTTCCATCCCTCCTCTTTTCCTCGTGCGTACACAATCTCCCTCCTCCTGCGCCTCTTGTTGCTCCTCCTCATCCCTCCCCTTCTTCATTCATACCTCGTCCATCCCTCCTACTCTCTCCCTCCTCATCCATCCGTCCTCCTCTTCCTGATCCTGCTCCTCCTCATCCCTCCTCCTCATGCTCCATCCTTCTACTCCTCCCGCCGTTCCTCCCTGCCACCCTGCTCTTCTCCCTTGTCCTCCTCCTTAGACTCCTCATACTTCTCCTGCGCCCACCCCTCCGCCCTCAACCCTCATTCACCTCCGTGCCCTTTTCTTCTCTATTCCTCCTCCTCTTCCTCATCCTTCTCCTCCTTCAATCCTCCAACCGCTCCTCCCTTTTCCCCCCTCTCCCAGCTTCCTCCTTCTCCTCCCCCAATTCTCCATGTCTCCCTTCCTCCAGCCCCTCTTTCCTCCACCCCGCCATTACTCCATCCATCCATCCATCCATCCATCCGTTCCTCCTCCACTCTTCCTCCTCCTCCTCCTCATGCTTTCGCTCATGCTCCTGCTCCTGCTCCTACTCCTCCTGCTCCTCCTTCTCTCTTCTCTCCACCCGCGTCTCTCTTCATACGTGTCCTGCACTGCCTTCCTTCTTAGCCCCCGCGGCCACGCCGAGGCGGGCCCGAGTCCCGCCTGCAGGGAGTCCTTGAGCTCCTTCTGCAGGCCCTTGAGGGACTTGACGCACATGGGCGAGTCCTGCGTCGGTCGCGGGAGGGACGAGGCACCTCAAATGATCGTAGCAACGCTGGGTGCGTTTGGCTCGTTTCCAAGATCCTTCCGTTCTGGGAGCCGTGCTCGTTACGTTTCAGGTATTGAGATCGGCCCGTGGCCTACCTGATCGTATTCTTTCTGGATTAAATGCGTTCTTGAAGCGTTGTGTATCACAATGCCGCTGGCCTGACGTCATCATTTCAGGGTGTCGAAAGTTAGAACGTTGTTGGTCGAGTCGAGCGAGAAAAGGGGGGAAGCAAAACATAAGCACGCCCCCGGCGCTTTTGATAACAACTAGGACGAGGCACACCCAGGACCCCATCGTGCCGAGGAGGTGTAGGAGGTGTAGACACCCTGAACTGCCCATCGTGCCCGAACGCATGCGACGGGAAGCATCCCACCGTGCCGAACAAACACGACGGGAGATGCAAGCAAGCTTCGATCTCCATGGGAGGCATTACCGGCACTGCTTGGCCTCGGAGACGTCAGCTGACGACTCGGGGGAAAGGTTTCGGCACCTCTGGGGTCCACATTGTGAAACATCAAATCGGAGTTCTGGGTAGTGGGAATTGAGAAAAAGTAGGGTAAGGTAAGGTGTAAGGTGTAAGGTGTAAGGTGCAAGGTGTAAGGTGCAAGGTGTAAGGTGTAAGGTAAGACGAGGGTGCTTGGGGAGCAGGAGCCTTCTGCTGCTGATTCGGATAGGTCGCTGCGGGCCATACAGGAATGCAGAGGCCCCTACTGAATCACAGTCGGCCCGCTGAAAGGAGGAACGCTAAATAAGGAGCGACGCCCCTTCTTGGCCCCGTAAGCGCCTCCGTGCCCCAGGAGGGCAAGAGGAACAGCACTGGAGGAACCCGAGGCACATCGAGCCCCTTCCGAACCCAAACGGTTCCTTCTTCCAGCGTCCTGACGGCAGGAATGCAGGGGCCCCGACCGAATCGGCCGGGGGCTCCCTGCAGCGGGCCGCCCGACGGGCAGGGACGGCTGCGGCGTCAACCGGGGGGGCGGCCCGCCCACGCACGGAGCCCGAGAGGGGGGGGGGGGGGCACGGGGGGGCAGAGGTGGGGCGGCAGGCTGCGCGTGCGCCCCACTCCTGGGGGGGCCATGCGCCACGAGGAGGAGGAGGAGGCGGGAGGAAGGAGGAAGGAGGAGGGAGGAGGAAGGAGGAGGAGGAAGGAGGAGGAGGAGGAGGAGAAGGAAGGAGGAGAAGGAAGGAGGAGGAGGGTGAGGAGGGTGAGGAGGAGGAAGGAGGAGGAAGGAGGAGAAGGAAGGAGGAGGAGGAAGGAGAAGGAAGGGAGGAGGAGGAGGAGAAGGGCGGTGTGGTGAACTGGGGGGAGGAGGGGGTCGGAGGAGGGTGCCGCGCGGGCGAGCTCGAGCGAGCCAGCGAGCCACACGCCCACTTCCGCCACGCCCTCCGGCAGCAGGAGCAGCGCCGGCACGTCCCGGGGCGGAGTACCAACACGGACGTCGACGCAACGGCGAGGACGCGTGACGCAAGGATAAGCATCGGCGGTGGACAAGCCTCCCTTTAGAAACACCTCCCCTTAGTGAAAACGGCATGGGACCGAAACCAGACCGGGACGGCCGCGACGCCCTTTCGCGAACCGAAAACGGCCAATTCCTGAATCGACGTGTCAGGGTAGGAGGTCTATTCACCCCCGAAAGTAGAGTGAACTAGCGGACGGCGAATGGGTCGGGTGGGGCGACTTCTGGGCTTCAGGGAAGCGCAATAGGGGCCATGGAACACGGAAGGGAGGCGGAGAAGGCCGGAACACCTGGAGCACCTGGAACACGGGAACGAACTCTGGTCGGGCGTTGCCAGAAATACCCCTGGCCCAAGGTGCCCCCAGCTTTTCGCTTCATTTTGGAGCCCCTGAGGCCCTCTGGGCCTCGTGAGGGGTGCTCTGGAGGCATGGGCTGCCCTGAGAATCCTGGGGGCACCTTGGCCCAGGGGCACTTCTAGCAACACCCGATCTGGTCGAAGCACCTGGAACTACCTGGTCGAACTCAGGAACACGGAAACGAAGCACTCTGGAGACGAACTCTGGTCGAACGCGGAAACGAACTCTGGTCGAAGCACGGACACGAACACGGAAACGAACTCTGGTCGAATTGCGGCCGCTACTGCTGCGCCGCCGCGACCGTCACACGGCCAACGGCCAGCCGGAACCAGGTGGCAGCTGTGGCGCAACCGAAGGCGAGGAGGTCGATGCCAGGAACGGCCCCCTGGGTGCTTCGCGCAAGCGGCAGGCGCTCGCGACCTGCCTCTCTTCCGAGGAGCTGGCGAGGGGAAGACGCACGGGCCGACGCTCGCGGAACTCCCAGGGCACCATCGCGCGCAGCGCTCCGGCGAGGGCACCACTCAGCACTCTCTCGCGCGTGGCCACGGCTCCGAGACGAGTGGCACCCCAGACCAGACCACCCCAACCCAACCCGAAGGCACGAATTTGACCCGAATTTCGGGTTGGGGGGGGTACGGGGACCATGTGTTTTTTCGACGTTCCCCGATCCCCCCCCCCACTGGAATGGAGGGCAAACTGAGGCCTTCGGGTTGGGTTGGGGTGGTTTGGTGGGTGGTGATGCTTGGCAGGTGGGGGCGGGAGCGACCTCACGCCCGCCCGGGCGCGGCCCCGATCCCAGTTGCTATACGGCTCGGCCGGCGCAGGGCGAGCGCCGCGCCCGGCAGCGGGCACGCCACGCTCGGGCGAACTCTGCGCAGCAAGTGGACCGAGGACGACACTGACCACCCGACCCGAAGACCCGAATTTGACCCGAATTTCGGGTTGGGGGAATACGGGTTCCATGTGTTTTTTCGACGTTCCCCGACCCCCCCCCCCACTGGAAATCGAGGATAAATTTGGGCCTTCGGGTTGGGTTGGGGTGGTTTGGTGGGTGGTGAGACACTACGCCCGATCGCGCGCGGCCCCACGTCCAACGACCGGGCGAGCGAAATATATGCAGCCCGAGCGGGCGCGCCACGTTCTCGGGCGGACGTCCGCGGGGCGGCGGAAGAGCTGCAGCTCGTCCGCTCGCGCGCTGCCGCTGGGCCGACACGAGCTGGCGAACGGCAAAGCATGCTCGCCGCACACACCGGAAGCGGGAACGCAACTGGCGAGCCCACACCTGTGCGAACGCCCGGCACGGAGGCCAGATCGGCCCTTCGATGTGCCGCTCGCGGAGTGCGCCGTGCCTCGAGATCCTGGCTCGCACAGCGTCGGCCACGGCTCTCCTCCGCTGTGCCGGCGGCACCGGCCGAGGACGGCACTTTCTCTCGGCGGCGCGCCTGGCGGGGCGTCTCGGAAGCCCTCCGACCTTCGGAGAAGCCCTCTCTGTCGTCGGAAACGGCTTATGCAACTTCTTTTTGTTGCTTATGCCTGTTTTGCATGAAGACAATTAGAAGCTTACACAACGTCTGATCCGGGCCCGCCGTCGATTCCGGGCAGGCAGCGGCGGCAGAGGCCAGCAAGGAGGGGTGCCAGCGAGGAGAAGAGAAGGGAGGGAGGAGGAACATGAGAGCAATAACGCGGCAGAAGCAGGGTGGGGGGAGAAGAGGACGACCAGGGAGGAGGAAGGAGACGAGAAAGGAGGAGAGGAGAAGGACGAGAAAACAACACGGCGGAGGAAGAAAGAAGGATGACGATGGGAAAAGAAGGAGGACAAGGATGACAGCGTATATGATGAGTAGGATGAGGGGGGATGGATGGAGGAGAAAGGGGATGGGAATGGCAGGGGAGGGAGGGTGGCTGACGAATAAGAGGGAATAATGACGAGGACGAGGACCAGGATGAGTATGAGACTGATACATCGAAATACGATGGAGATGAGGACAGGACGATGACGAAGATGGTGGTAATCATAGTGCTGAATTGCTGGTTGGCAACAATGCTGTGTCACCCTCCGCTTTCGGAAGCTTTTCGGCGTCGTGGAACCGTCATCAATCGCGCTGGCAGCCATAAGAGAGACATCTCCTTATTAAAAAAAACGACAAATGGCCGGAAAGTGAGCAGGAGAAGATTTGCGATAACCTCACGAGAGGGGGAAGAGGCCATTGCGATGCCCATCCCATCGCTTCGCCATTCGGAAATGTCCACGTCGAATCGGCGTCACGCCCGCGGCGGATCCAAGGGGACGACCGCCACTTGCGGGAAGGGCACGGCCCCGCGAGGGATGCAGGGCAAAGATGCGAGGCAGAGGGCACATGGAGGCCTGATAGATGGGGTCCGAGACTTACCAACGCTCGGACGTCCATTCCCCGTGCAGGGTCTGGTTTCGTGGTGTTTTCTTGTATTATTGTCCAGGGCGATGCAAGATGCTCCGAGCTGGTCCAGACGTGCTGGCGCTGGCCCCACCAAACCAAAAAGAGTGCGCACGTCCGAGCGATGCCATGGAGCAGATGGGGTCGGAAGGTCTCGTACAAATCCTACGGGCACAAATCTCACCCGCGGAGATGCAGGGAGAGAGGCAGCGTGTCGAGCCGAGGCGCGCTGGCAGGTCCAGCATCCCCAGCGGAGCCGCCCGCGAAGCGGGGCGGGGCGGGGCGGACAGCGCAGCGGAGCGGGCAGCGTGGTGGCCGGGGGGGTACGATGAAACCAAAGAGCTCTCAGACTCTGGTTCATGGGAACAGTGTCCCTACTAGTTCATGGGCGCCCGAGTTATCCGGGGTAACTCGGGTCCGGGGTGACTCGGGCTTGGATTCCCGAGAAAGGAAACCGAGTTAGCCCTGACCCGAGTTACCCCTGATGATGTGGGGCTCTGGACGCCCGAGTTATCCGGGGTAACTCGGGTCCGGGGTAACTCGGGTTTGGATTCCCGAAAAACGAACCCGAGTTATCCCTGACCCGAGTTACCCCTGATGATTCGGGGCTCTGATAGTTCATGGGCCCCGAGAAAACCTATCAAGAAGAGGGGTACAGGCAAGCAAGATCTCACGAAACTGATCCGCTCAACATCGGTTCCTGGAGCTCCCCCGGGGTCCATCTGGCAATTTCCCCCCCCCCCGATACTTTTTTCACGGCCCTGGGGCTCGGAAAATACCCCTGGAGGCCGAAGAAGGCAACAAAATCTTTCTCGAACCCAGAACCTCGAACCTTCCCCCCACCTCCTCGCTGCACGGAGCCACGTGCCGGGCCACCTCAGACCCCCAGCCGGCTCCCACTGGGCAGTCGGACGCGCCGGGCGCCCCAGTGGATGCCGCAGCGCAGGGGTGCCAAGGAAGCGGAGGGGGCGAAGGCGCGCAGTGCGCGAGCGAGGTCGATGGAGGGTCTTACGGTGAAGAAAGACCGACTGGACGCAGCAAATCTGCAGCCTGGCTGACACGTGGGCGACGAGGAACGGGGCCCGACGCCAAAGACCTTGCGCGATGGATCACACGGGCGGCCAGCGCGGCACACCGCGGGGAGAAGAAGGCACTTGCGTGCGACCTTCCGCGGGCAGCATGCGCACCCATATCCGCGCAATCGGCCCTCCCGTTACGCGTCGCCCACGTGACCTCACGAAAGGCCCAAATGTCGTGCGCTTCTGCCGGGCTGCCTAAACGCCTCGTGGATATGCGGAGGGTGTGAATCCACATCGCGGCACGGCTGCGCAACTGGGGAGGTCCCAACTTTGTACAGATCCTCCGGGCGATCTGAAGTGACGGCTGCGCAACTTGGGAGATCCCAACTTGTCGGGGATGGCCAGAACCCCCTTTAGTAAAACATGGTTTAGTGAAAACGACCTCAGACCCAAACCTGGCGGGCGCAAGCCTAGAAAATGACGGCCACGGCGCCCTCTCGAGAACAGAAAACAAACAATTCACTAATCGACGTGTCAGGGTGGGGGTTCTGTCAACCTCCGAGCTTTGTACAGGCCTTCCAGGCGATCTGAAGTGGCTTCGGCGCTTTGTATTTTACCCGCCCGCAGCAGCGGTGTCGAATGCGTTCGGAGGCAACTTCTGGGAGGTCTTCGTCAGAACGTTGAAGGGCGAACTGATTGAAGCATATTAAAAGGCTATTGAGCTGGATGCAACCGGATCGAACCCGGACCTTTAATATATCAGGCAAGAATAAGCCAGTTTGAGCTGGATGGGCTGGCTTGAACTGGCTTGCGCCAGATTAGGCAACTTTTCGAAAAGGGGATGTACCTAGCAGGAGATGCGTCTACCCTTATCCAAGGCTGTTAGACGTTTTCGTCCAGACAAGACATTTGGGACCCAATCCTAGGATATACGAGGGGGGCGTACATCCTCGACAGGGGTGCGTCCGAATAGCACCACTTGGGTGTATCCCAGGGTCTCCCCGTCTTGTGAGCGGCCAAACTTTTCTTGCGGAGCTCGGGTGTCGGAGAGGAACGCCGCCTGCGAATGAATACCGGCGCCGATTCTGAAGATCATCTCCCAGGAGTGCCCTTGGCCCAAGGTGCCCCCAGCTCTTCGCTCAATGTCAGAGCGCCTGGGACCTTCTGATTTTTACGGGGATGGACAGACCTCCATTTAGTAAAACGTGGTTTAGTGAAAACGACCTGAGGACCAAACCTGGCGGGCGCGAGCCTGGAAAATAACGGCCGCGGCGGCCTCGCGAGAACCGAAAAAGGACAATTCACTAATCGACGTGTCACTGTTGGGGGTTCTGTCCACCCCCGATTTTTTGCTCTTTCGACGGAGGAGCGCATGGGGCCCTCTGGGCCGTTTGGGGGGTGCTCTGGAGACCGTGGGGGGCACACTGGAAATCCTGGGGGCACCTTGGACCCCAGGGGCACTTCGAGCAGCACCCGACTCGACCTGGGAAATTTTTGCCGGCCTCGAACGTATCCCTATCCCTGAGATTGGCACGCCAGAGGGCGATGGCAATCTTTGGGAGTCGCCCTCACAAAATAGGGGAATCCCTGAGATTGGCATCGTGATGAGGAGATGCCCAGCATAGGGATAGGAATATGTTTCAGGCTGGTACTCCAGATTTTGTAATAAAGGGAGGGGGGTCTCATTTCGGGGGGGGGTCTCTTCCAGGCTATCTTGGAGGGCCTGGGGGGGTCTGGGGACGATGTTTTGGAGGGTTCTCCCACGGGGGAGGTCTGAAATGGCTTGTCTTGGAGGGTCCAGACCCCCTCCCTTTTATTACGAAATCTGGAGTAAGCAATACCACCGCCGCTTCTGAGGCAAATCTGCCGGGAGCGGCGTCCTAAAATGCGGGTGCCACGCGCCAGGCGGCTCCCCCCCCCCTCGACGCGCGGCACCCGCAGCACGCCGCGCTTCTTCTCCCCCCCCCCGCGGGGAGCAGCTGGCGCGAGGCTCGGGGAAAGCAAATCAGAGAGACGAGGCTGGGACGAGGAGAGGTGAGGAGGCAGCAGCATCAGTAGCAATTGGAGCAGCAGCTGGGCCGCCTGGAAGACGATGCTTCCTGCGTCTCGGGGATGCTATTGGGCCGTCTAGAGCTGAAAGCACCGTCCGCACTTAGAATATCAGGTGTTTGGAACTCGTTACGTGGTGAAGCAAAAACGCCAGACGAACATCTAGACATTTCGTGTCTCCTGGCCTTCTTAGAGGTCCTCTGGTTGGGCCACTTCATCCCTCTCGGGCCGTCCTGGGACATCTTTTGGGCGTCTTGGAACGCTTTGGCTGGCTTGGGGCCTTGTAGGGGCCCTCTTGGAGGGCTCTCGGGGCCCTTGTGGACCTCTCTCGAGGCCATTTGAAACCTTCTGGGCCTTCTTGAAGCTGTCTTGGAGCGCCCCTGGGCCGTCTTGGGGCTCGTGGGCTGTCTTGGCCCGTCGACAGCATGACTAAGCCAGAACACAGAAGACCAGCAAACACCAGAGACACATTCGATCTTGCGTCTCCTGAGGGCCTCGTGGGGCTCCTTTTGGAGACCTCTTGGCCATCTTGGCGCCCTCTCGGGCTGTCTTGAACCATGTGGGGCCATCTAAGAGAGTTCTTGGGCGGTCTTGGGGGCCGCCTTGGAGCCCCCTTAGACGTCTCTCGGGCCCTCTCGTCGCCCCTCTTCCCATCCCTTGGCGCATTCTGGCGCTCCCCGACAGGTTCAAAACGGCCGTGTGAAGAACCAAAGCTCCCCACGGCCCCTGGATCGGCCTTGGGAGGCTGCCTTCACGCTCAGAACCATACGACATGGATCCACTATGGAGCCTTGCAGGGCCGAGGGCTGAACCGAGCTATGCGTCGCAGCCGAGGGGGGGGCGACCCCAGGAAAGCGTAACGCAAGGAAAGAAAACGTCGTTGGCCCCCCTGGGAGCCGTTTTGAAGCAGCTCGGGTCCGCTTCTGAAGCTTTGGGCGCGTCCTGGGGGCGCCTCGGAGCTCATTGAAGGCCTGCTGGCCGTTTTGGGGGCCGTCTTGCGGACGTGACTGAAACTGTCTTGTGGTTTTCTTGGGCCGTCTTGGAAGCCCTTTCGGGGCCTCTTATAGGGCGTCCTGGGGCGGTTCCCGGGGTTTCTTTGGAAGCCGCGGAGCGTCGGAAAGCCGAAAAGTCGCGCATGGCAAAAAAACACGATTTCGAAAGGAATTTGGCGAAATTTGCCCCTTGGAGCCGTCTTGGGAAGCTTGGGGGCTCTCTTGGGCGATTTTGGGGGCCTCTGGGGCCGTCTTGGGGCCATCTTGGGCGTCAGGAAACTCTCTGGGGTTACTTTCCTGGGCTGGGCCACGTTAGGAAGCAGTCCGGAAGCGGTTTGGGACCCCCCCCGGGGCCCCCCCTCCCCCCATGAGCACTCGGGGCACCTGTTTTGGGGCCGCGGGCCTATCTATCTATCTATCAATCGATCTATCTATCTATATATACACTAGAACCATCGCGCGCGCTTCGCGCGCGCTCAGGTTCTAGCAGGCCCCAGGCCTTGACGAGTTCACTGCTCCACTGAAGTAGTTGGACCACAGGTGGGTAGAACGGAAAGTGAAGAAGTGCCCATAACGCTGAACGAATTCTGGGCAGTGAAAAGCCCATTCGTGTCAATCCGCACTGCGGAAGGCTTTCGGGGAAGATGGTTGCGTAGGGGGGCGGAGGCCTGATGTATCGGGTTCCCAGAAGGCCTTCTGGAACATGGGTCTGGGGGGCGTCTTGGGGGGGCGTGCCGTCGCCGTCGTCGTAATGTCGTCGTCGCCTCTTGGGGCGCGCCGTCGTCGTCGTCGCCATCCTCGTCTTCGTCGTTTCGTCGTCGTCTCCGTCGTCGTCGTCGTCGTCGGTTCAAGAGGGCACTTGGGGCAACTTTGTGCGAAACGATCCGCGGAGGGCCGCGAGAAGGCGCTCAATCATGTTCCCAATCAACTTCCCAAACAGCTCTCCGGTAGCGCGATGGTACTTCGGAGCCTCTGGAGATCTTCGGCCCCATGATGAGCCATGTCCCCTGGAGGCTTCCTGGGGACATGATTTGTTGGGGTGTGTTGGGGGGCCTGTCGGGCGTTCCCTGGCCCCTTGGGAGCCTCTTGGGGCTTTCCGGGGGGCCTCTTGGGAGCCTCACGGGGTTTCGCGGGAGCCTCGTGGTGACCTCACGGGGGCCTACTGCGAGCCTCTAGGGCCCCAAACCACGAAATATCTGTTCGCGGTCCCCCTCTGGGCCCCCTCTTGGGGCGCTCTTGGGGCACACTTGGGCTCTTGGGCCGTCTTGGGGCCCTCTTCGGGGCCTCGTGGGGCCTATTGAGGTTTCTGGGGTGCCTCTTGCGAGCGTCACAGGGGCTTCTTGGGAGCCTCTTGATGGCCTCCGGGGGCGTCCCAAGGGCGCTCTCGAGGCCCTCTTGAATTAACTATCCGCATATCCTGGACCAATAAACATATATGGAAATGGTATAGATGTATGCATACATATAGAGAGAGAGAGAGGGAGAGAGAGAGAGAGAGGGAGTGGTAAAGAGGAGGAAACGACATAAGATGCCGCGGTGCAACCTGCGTGGCCCAGGCGACCGTATATCAAACCTCGCGCCAGCCATGCAGCCAACACTGAGGGGGACCGCCCGCACTGTCGGCACGATCATGGGAGAGACTGTACCGTCGCGGCCATGGCTCATCATGACCGCGACACCGCTGACGGTAACAAACACCGCTTCCATCCCATCCCCAGGACTTGGCGGCGAGCAGACGAAGGCAGGCGCGAGAGGGGACGGCCCTCTCCACGACAGGCGGGCCACCCCCCATGTGCGCGACGCCAGCGCACCTCCCGTCTCCCCCCCCCTTCCCAGGACCCACGACGCCGCGATCTGGGAAGGGCCGGAGAGAGTGGAGCTGACCCCAGCCAGCTTTCCCAACTTCTCCGCCTCTTCCCCCTCCTTCTCCTCCCCGGGGGCGGCCAACCGAGGGGCGTCCAAGAGGGGGGGGGTGCAGATCATGACCGGCGGCACGTGCGCGGCCCAGGGGGGGGGGTCCGGGGACGTGAGGAAGCAAGACGAGGCGCCATGAAATCTGAGGAGATATCATGGCCCGCGCCATGGTCTCCACCCCCCCCTAGCCTAGCTGCCCCGATACGCAACACGCAACACGTATCGTATTGATACGGAGCTCAACACGTGGGCTGCAAACGTAGGTCCGGCGGGATAAATTCGCCAAAACGTGGCCCAAAACGTGGAGCCAACGCGCAACGTATTGACACGGACGTCTTGAACACGGGACGTGTCGCGCTTCAAAACGCGCGCATCGAGGCAACTGAGCCTCCTGGTCATCACCCCCCTCTTTGTCGACCCCGACCCCCTTCTCCTCCCCCCTTTAAAGGGGCCCCAGGACACACAAATGAATACATACAAATAACATGCCTCCCCATAGGTTCGCACATTGTCAGGGCTTTCGCCTTCCCCCCCCACTTCCCATATCTTCCCATGTCTTCTGGCAATCGAGGATTAATTGTGTCTGTGTGTTTTTGTTCCCTCCTCCCCCCTCGTCCCGGCACTTCGCACGAACGCGCCCCGCGCACGCGCGCCCCTCTCCGCGAGCCCCCGCGCCGCCGCCCCGTGGCGAGGAGCGCCTCCCGTGGCCCAGGCCGCGAGGCGCGACGCGCGGCGCGACGCGCGGCGCCGCGCCCGCCTGGGCCTGGGCGACGCGGCCCCTCCGGGGGCCACGCGTGAGGCGGGCGTGTCCCCTTACAGTCAGGGCGTTGACCTAAGGAACCCTAAACCCAGACCCCCGACGCCATGATTTCTTCATGACGTCGACCCCCAGAGGTGTGGACCCATTCCCCAGGGCCGGTGTTTCCCCCTGAGTCGTTTTTTGACGCTCCCGAGGCCCGGTAGGGGCTCCCGGAGGCCGAAAATATGGAAAAACCTCCCGTCGTGATTTTTTCATGACTCGAGGGGGTCTGGGAATGAGGAACGAGACCCCTCTTTTCCATAAGACGAACTTCGATTTCCGATCGAAAACATCAGTAAAACCTGAGGCAAGCTGTGAAACACTCAAGGAACGCGGAGCCCCTCCCCAACCAAAAGGGTTCCTTCTTCAGGGCCCCGACTGTACAGGGGGATTGGGGACGACGGATCCAACAAATACCCCCAAAAACATGCCCCAAGATGGGCAATAAAACTGCGCAGGAAGTGGTCCCCGGACCGTTGTTCGACTGTTTTCGAACACTCCTCCTGTAGAGAGAGGGACGGGCCCTCAATGGGCCACGGGGCCGCTTTTTAACCGGTTCCGCTCTGCCGTTTTTTTGCCGGTTCCGACACCGTTTCTTTACCGGTTCCGTCGCCGTTTTTTGACCGGTTCCGGCTCCGGTTCCAATCCTGGAACCGTTTTTTGTCGTTTCCGGTCGCCGGTTTTTCGCCGTTTCCATTTTCAAGAGACTTTTTGTTGGAAACGGTGAAAAAACGGCCCTGCCGTCTCCGGGGCCCACAAAAGGACGGGCCCGACTTCAGGCAAGAAGGTCAGCGGCCTGCCTGGCGGCCCTGGCGAGCGAGTGAGCGACCGAAGCCAGGAGCGATTCGCCGAGGCTCGCACCGCGTCTCTCCGCACGGAAACATCGACGCAGGTGGAACATTAGAGAAACTCTCGGTGGCGAGCGCGGGGACCCAGACCCCCGACGTCAAAATTTTTTCATGACGTCGACCCCCAGAGGTTTGGAACCATTCCCCAGGACCGGTTTTTCATCCTGATTCGTTTTTTGACGGTCCCGAGGCCCGGTAGGGGCCCCCCAAAGCCGCAAATATGGAAAAACCTCCCGTCGTGATTTTTTCATGACTCGAGGGGGTCTGGGGAGGAAGCGAGATGGGGAACTGGAGGCAACGATCGGGGGGGACTGGAAGATCGGGGGGACAGCGACGCCTGGAATCGGCGATGCGTCGCCGATGGAGCGGCGGCGGGCCCTGGATGGCGACGCCGCACGCTCCCGGGCAGGGGCTGGGGCTACCGTCGGGGCGTTGACCCAAGGAACCCTGCACAGGGAACGAGGCCTCCTTTTTTTCCATGAGTCAAACTTCGATTGCCCATCGAAAACATAAGGGAAACCGGAGGCGAGCTGCGAAATGCTTGAGGAACGCGGAGCCCCTCCCCAACGAAGAGGGTTCCCTCTTCAGGGCCCCGACTGTCGAGCAGGGGGCGCGCAGACGTGGATCCACGATCCGTGGCTTTGGCGCGCGGTCGCCAAGTCCATGGATCGGGAGCGGCCAAGAGGGGGTTGTCCAAGTCGGGCGGTCCCCCCTGCAGGGAGAGCTTCGACGAATCATAAAGCAGATTCGAAACATACTCCAAAATGGCACAAAAATGTTCAGAAAAGGGTCCCCGAACTATTTTTTAACAATTTTTCGAGATTCCCCCTGTAGAGGTCGGGAGGGGCCAAGAGGGGGGTGTCCAAGAGGGGGGGGGGGTGCAGATCATGACCGGCGGCACGTGCGCGGCCCAGGGGGGGGGGGCAAGGACGCCATGAAACCAGAAGAGGCGCCGTGAAATCTGGGGAAATATCACGGCCCACGCCATGAGATCCACCCCCCCCTAGTCATCCCCTCCGTCTTTTCCGCCCCCGAATGGATCGGGGGAGGTGCCCTCCCCAAAGCGCGGCCGGTGCCGCCCCGCTCGGCGGCAGAAGTCCGCGAGGTCCCAGGGAAGCGGGACTGAAGGGGCCCTGAGACACACACACACACACACACACACACACACACACACACACACACACACACACACACACACACACAAGTAAATGCACACAAATAGAAGGATTCCCTCTATTTCCCCATAGTTTCTGGGCTTCTGTCTTCCCCCCAGTGCCCCATTTTCCCCTTTTTTCTCTGGGGGATCGACGATGACTTGTGTCTGTGTGTGTGTGTTTTCTCCTCCTGAAGGGACGCGTCGCCGATCCACGCCCCCCTTGGAGAGCCATGCTTTTGCCAACGCCTGGAAAGTTATAGGGCCTCCCAGAGGCGAGCAGTGGGCCATTGGGGGTCGAGGCGTCCCCCCCTGTGTGAAGGGGCCCTGGGACACACAAATAAATACACACAGATAACAGGATTCCTCATATTTTCCTGTCTTTTCTGGCTTCTTGTCTTCCCCCCCAATCCCCATATTTTCCCATATTTTCCTGGGAGTGGACGAACAATTGTGTCTGTGTGTTTTTTCCCCTCCTGACTGGGCCCATCCCCCCCCTTGTCGTGGCCCCTTATCTCCGGGCCAGTCCCCTGATCTCCGGGCCAGTCTCGTTCTGGGCCCCGTCCCAGGAGGCCCGCTCGCAGATTGCAGGGGCTTCGTGCCGTAGCTCCGCTGGCGCGCGCGGAGTCTGCCGCAACGCTGGTCGAGAGATTATGCCGAGCACGAGCCGCGCCCACCTGAGTAGGGTTTCCCTCTCGCACAGGTGGTCCGTCCGTCCGTCCGCCTCTATCGCTAAGTCGGGCGCGTCCCCCTACAGGGGGATTTTCGACGAAAAATAAAGAATACCCCCAAAATGATCAAAACATAATCCAAAAATAGTCTGGGGACTTCTTTTTTTTTGTTTGTATTCCTTGACCTTCTTGGGGTATTCCTGGGGTATTTTTTATTTTTCGTCGAAAATCCCCCCGTAGGGGGGCACGCCCGACATCGCTGTAGAGGAGCAGGCCCGACCTAACCCCACCGTTGCCCCTGATCCTCCGCCCCTGTCCGCGAGGCGGGCGCGGGACGAGCTGCTCGACGCTGGGCGCCGCCCGCGCAGGCCGCGGGCGGGGGGCCCCGCGGGGGCCCCGCGGGCCCCCGTCCTGGGCCCGGGGCCTGGCTGGAGGAGCGCGGGCACGCCGCCTGAGGTCGGCCGGGGCTCTGCCTAGCGCTCGGTCGGGCATGTCTATCAGGAGCCCAGGGGCACGCACATAGACACACACACACACTCACACACACACACACGCATTCACACACACACACACACACGCCACGCACACACACACACACACACACACACACACACACACACACACACACACACACACACACACACACACACACACACACACACACACACACACACACACACACACACACACACACACACACACTTACACACTTACACACTTACACACTTACACACTTACACACTTACACACTTACACACTTACACACTTTACACACTTACACACTTACACACTTACACACTTACACACTTACACACTTACACACTTACACACTTACACACTTACACACTTACACACTTACACACTTACACACTTACACACTTACACACTTACACACTTACACACACACATAGACACACGCACACACACACACACACACACTCACACACACTCACACACATAGACACACACACAGGGTGCCCCCCATTTTTGCAGATGTGTGTTGGACTTTCGTCTTCCCCCCCATTTCCCGCAATTTCCGATGTTTTTGGGGGAATCGACGGTGAATTGTGTCCGTGTGTTTTTGCTCCCTTCCGGAATGTCCTTCTACAGGCTGGTTTTGGGCGAACGCCCAACAAAAATATACACCCACAAATTACCCCAAAGACTCAAACACTCCCAACAAAAAATGCTTTGACTATTTTGGAGCATTCCTCCTGTAGAGGGACGCGCCCGACGTAACGCTGGCCAGCGTCCACGCGCGCGACGATCAAAAACGGGCCTTGCGCGAGATGACGTAGCGACCTAACGCCGCGGCTTACAGGGGCCGCCGGCGCGGCACGCGGCAGTGGAAACGAGGGCGCTCACGCGCGACCTCTGCTGGCTCCAGGGGGGGGGGGCAAAATCTAGGACCCCCCCTCTTTTGATATATGGCGATGCCCC